ATCTCTCTCTTTTCCTCTCTGTGAAAAATCAATAAAATATATTTAAAAAGAAAAGAAAAGAAATCTTATTGTTTAGCCAAAACAGGTTTGGCTCAGTGGATAGAGTGTGGGACTTCAGACTGAAAGAAGAAAGAAGAAATCTTATTGTTTAACACAGAAGATCCATGAGGCACAGCATTAAGATCCTCAGAATTTTTCCCTCCCAGGAATAATTTTTAAAGGATTTAAGAGACATTGCCTTAAATCTTGCTGAGGTCTTAACAGATTTTACAGTTGTATCCTTGACTTGTCTTTACCCTGTGATCTCATTTTGCTGGCAACACCTTGGATTTGATCTTCACCATGAGGCCATTTGTTCCGTTGGGATCCCTGTGCTGTCTGGAAATACTATCCTGGATCCTTCTTCAGTTTACCTCTCTCTTCTTTTATTTTATCATGGGTAGCTAGAAAAACAACAACAACAATGCACACAGATGACACTTTGTACTTTCTGCCTGGAAATTCACTAGCCAGGCCCTTAAGTTCATTAGGTACCTTTCTATTTTCCATGTTTCCACAAGTAACCATGCTGCCAAACCTTCCTCCACCTTTCAATAACAATTCTTTGATTGTTCTGCAAGTCCTCACCAATGATTTTCTTCAGGTCTTTCCAGCTTTCTCTAACAGACTCCTCAAGGCTCACAATTAACATCTTATTTTCAATAGTGAACAACTGAAAGTTTTTCCTCTAAGATCAGGAAAAAGGCAAGAATACCCACTTTCTTTTTTCTTTTCTTTTAAATATTTTTATTTTTATTGATTTCAGAGAGGAAGGGAGAGGGAGAGAGAGAAATATCAGTGATGAGAGAGAACCATTAATCAGTTGCCTTCTGCACACCCCTACTGGAGATGGAGCCTAAAACCTGGGCATGTGCCCTTGACTGGAACTGAACCTGGGACCCTTCAGTCTGCAGGCTGATGCTTTCAACATAGGACTAGAAGTTCTAACCAGAGCAATTTGGTAAGAAAAAGAAATAGAGACATCCAAAAGATAATGTAAAATTATCTCTATTTGCAGATGATGTAATCTTATAAGTAGAAAACCCTAAAGATTAAAAAAACACTGTTAGAGCCGAAACCAGCTTGGCTCAGTGGATAGAGCATTGGCCTGCGGACTGAAAGGTCCTGGGTTTGATTCCAGGCAAGGGCATGTAACTTGGTTGCGGGCACATCCCCAGTGGAGGGTGTGCAGGAGGCAGCTGGTCGATGTTTCTAACTCTATCCCTCTCTCTTCCTCTCTGTAAAAAATCAATAAAATATATTTTAAAAACAAACAAACAAAAACACTGTTAGAACTAATTAATAAATTCAGGAAAGTAGCAGGATACAGAGTCAACACAAATATCAGTTGCATTTCTATATACTAACAATGACCAATTTGAAAAGGAAATTACAAAAATAATTATTTAACAATAGCAACAAAAAGAATAAAATACTTAGAATTAGCTTAACCAAGGACGTAAAACATTAAACAATGAAAACTATAAAACATCCTTGAAAGAAACTAAGAAGACATAATAAATGGAAATACATCTCATGTTCATGGAATGGAAGACTTTCCCACAGCCTAATAAAGGCAACTTGTATATGATGCAAATCCTGGCTTTACTACTGAATAGCCGTGTTGTTACCAGACTGGACCAGACCCAGAGTGGGTCTGCCTCTGGCCAGCCTGGTATGTGGGTTTTTTACTTTGTGTAGGAAAGATTTCACAACACAAGTCCCGGTGACTTGGAGAGTATATTTATTAAAGCTGGGGACAGTAAAACAAGGAAGGGCTTAGAATAAAAGAAGCCAACAGGCCCTGGCTGGTGTGACTCAGTTGGGTTGGAGCATTATTCCGTGCCTGGGAAAGCTGCAGGTTCGATTCCCGGTTGGAGTTCATATGGGAGGCAACCAATGGATATTTCTCTCTCACATTGATGTTTCTCTCCCTACCTTCCTCTTTAAAATCAATCAATAGCCGAAACCGGTTTGGCTCAATGGATAGAGCGTCGGCTTGGGGACTGACGGGTCCCGGGTTAGATTCCGGTCAAGGGCATGTACCTGGGTTGCGGGCATATCCCCAGTGGGGGGTGTGCAAGAGGCAGCTGATCGATGACTCTCTCTCATCGATGTTTCTAACTCTCTCTCTCCCTTCCTCTCTGTACAAAATCAATAAAATATATATTTTTTAAAAATCAATCAATAAATCAATCAGTAGGAGCCAACAACCAACAGAAGAGAGCCTAGGTGGGGCTGCTTTGGCTCTCTAGAGACCTGACAGGAAAAAAGTGAGCCACGGTGGGGTTGCTGTTGGCTTCCTGAAAAGTCAGAGAAAAGGTGGCCTTGGAGACAGGTTCAGGGGTTTAGCCTGCTACTGCTCATTGTGCGAGCCTCCCCTTCCCCCCAAGGTTGCGACAAATCTCATGGGGACCCTTACTGATTTAGGAGAGAAAAGCACTGGCTTGAGAGGGAAAAACTTGTGCTGGGTCCTTCTTCTTGAGGGCTTTAAAGTTTGGGAGTTTAGCAGAGGCCTTAGGGGAGGATCTCAGTCGTATATTCCTCAGCTTTATGCTGATGTGCCAAAATGTGGCTTATTTTCTTAACTTCTTTGTCCTTGGGTGTGGTTGGCACAAATGGCACTAATTGGATTTCTGCTACTTACCTCTCTGAGAAGGGTGATTCAAGCTATTTACCCTCTGGTTGGAGAGCACAAGTGTAAATCATTTACTCTTCACTGTCCTTGTTTAGGAAAAAAATAGGATTTTGCAATTTACTAAATGGCTGAAAACTGCTTGGCCATTGAAGTATCTGTCTGTTTCCCTATTCTACTTGTCCTGGCTTACTGACCTGCCTCAATGTGAAGCCACGTTTCTGTTTTTACAAAACAAGAATATCAATATGTACCTTTCAGGGCTTTTATGTGTCTGGCTCAAACTAATAAACGGCAGTTATGATTATATTTATTAAAAATTACATTGAAATTTATATGATATGTAGATACACACAATATAATAACAAATCCCATTTATTTTATATTATTACATATATTCCAATTAAGAGAAACCAAGGACAGCTATGTAAAGAAAGTGGTCTTAGCCCTGGCTGGGTGGCTCAGTTAGTTGGAGTGTAGTCCCACTGCGCCAGGATTGTGGGTTTGATTGCTGGTCATGGCACATTCAAGAATCAACCAATGAAGGCATAGATAACTGAAACAACAAATTTATCTCCTACTCTCTCTCTCTGGAGCATAAATAAATAAGTAAATCAAAAACAAATTTAGATAAGTAAATAAATGAAATCAGGAAATGGTGCATTAAAAAAAGGTAGTCAAAAGCTGCCTCTTGTCTTCTTGTTGAGTGAATATTAGGAGCACTCTCATCTTTCTTGTTGCCTTCTTTTGCATACATTCATTGCTTTTTGAATTTTGTTCATTCAACCAAGAAGGAGCCTACTGTACCTTAGGCAATGTGCCAGGCCTTGCACAGAGGAGGGACAGATAATCCAGCTTGATCAGACTGTGACAGAGAAAAGCCCAGGCACTGAAAGCACAGAGGAGACTAACACAGACTGGAGGGTCAGGAGAGGCTTCCTAGGAGAAATGCAGTTGGGTCCCAGAAGGCTCAGTGGGGATAATGATTAGCCTGAAAGAGGTATTGGGTAGAAGGTCTGGAGTGAGTTTCTATTAAAGAACAACATGAGTAGCTTGGGCTGGCATGGGTCAGTGGTTGAGTGTCAAGCTACGAACCAGGAGATCATGGTTCGATTCCCATTTAGGGCACTTGCCTGGATTGCAGGCTTGGTCCCAGGTATGGGGCCTGCAGGAGGCAGCCAAGCAATGATTTTTCTCTTATCACTAATGTTTCTTTCTCTCTCTCCCTATCCCTTTCTCTCTGAAATCAATAAAAATATACATATTTTAAATTTAAGTATATATTATTTTATTTAAAAATAAAAATATAGTTTTATTTAAAAATAAAAAAGGACAACATGAGTAAAGGCCTCAGCCAACGGGAACCGTTTTCTAGGTAACGGAGAGTATTCAGACAACCTAGAGTTTAGAATATGTGAGGAAACCGCCGAAACCAGTTTGGCTCAATGGATAGAGCGTGGGCTTGGGGACTGAAGGGTCCGGGGTTCCATTCCGGTCAAGGGCATGTACCTAGGTTGCGGGCATATCCCCAGTAGGGGGTGTGCAAGAGGCAGCTGGTCGATGACTCTCTCCCATCGATGTTTCTAACTATCTCTCTCCCTTCCTCTCTGTATAAAATCAATAAAATATATTTTTTAAAAAGAATATGTGAGGAAACCATGCTGCTAATGAGTGTAGGGAGGTAGACAGGTTTTTAAACCATTTGCGAATTAATAACTTAAGTCATCACAGTATTGGGAAGCTATTGAAGGTTTTAAACAGAATGTCATCAGACTTACATTTAAAAAGATCATTCCCCTGTGCATAGAATGGATTGGATGGGGGCCACGGTGAATGCAGGGACACCAGCTTTGAGAGTGTTGCAACAGCGCGGGTGAGACATGATGGTGACATGGACTAGGGTGGTGAGAAGGCAAAGACACAGAACCATCTGAGATACACACCTGGAGGAAGGATCTCTAAGGGAGTGATTGGATAGACAGGAAAGATTCATTGGTGAGTTTAAGGATCAAGGGGAAGCCATTTAACATTTTAACTGTATGGGAGCGATACCTTCTGCTATATTTCTATAAAAGGATCACCAGGCCGAAGGTGGTGAGGAGACTCAGGACAGTGCCCACGTAAGAGCCGGGACCAGCGGGGAGGGAGCGTGGCTTCGGGGGAAACCTCAAAGGTTTCGGGGTCGGGACCCGAACCTGGGAGACGCGGACACAGACGCAGCAGCAGCAGCCCGAACAGCGGAGGGAGGGGGAGCGCGGCCAGCGCGGCCCACGCCGCCGGCGCCGGGGGCGGGGCCAAGGCACGCACGGCGGCGTGACGCAGGCAGCAGCCGGCCTCGTTCTGGCCGCCGCCGCCGCGCCGCCGCCGCCGCCGCCGCCGCGCTGAGGCGGAGTAGGATGAGGCCCGCGGCCGCGGCTCCGGCGTCTGCAGGGGCAGCGGCAGCTGAGGCAGCAGCTGAGGCAGCCGCGCCGGCCGCGCCCCCGGCTCCTGACCTGGATTAGGCCCAGCGGCTCCGTGGCCGCCGCCGCCCCGCGGGGGGGCGGGGTGGGGAAGTGTCTGGTCTCCCCGCCCGCCCCCCCCCCCCACCACCACCACATCGCCGCCTCGCTGGAGGCTCCCGCCGCGACCCCAGCGGCGCCCGCGGCCCAGCGCTGAGCCCCCGCCCCGGGGGGCTGGCATGAGCGGCGCTCCGGCGGCGCCGGGGGGCGGGGGAGCCGCCGCCTGAGCCCCGGCCTGCCGCCGCCGACCCCTCCTCGCTGCCCGCGGCTGCCCGCGGCGCTTACGAAAGACCCCGCCACCGCTCACCGCCCCCCCCCCCCCACTTCACCCCTCACCCCCAGATCACACACCCTTAAGCCTCGGAAGATGGGGAACTGCCTCAAATCCCCCACTTCGGATGACATCTCTCTGCTCCACGAGTCTCAGTCCGACCGGGCGAGTTTCGGCGAAGGGACGGAGCCGGACCAGGAGCCGCCGCCGCCATATCAGGTAGAGGGGAGGGGGTGTGGGGGGGAGGGGAGCGGCGGCGGCGGCGGCGGGGTGCGGGGGCTTGGAGGCTGTCAGCGCCCCTGACCTCGGCAGGGCCTGGCCTGGGGGGTGGGGGCGGGGGGCGTTGACCCGCTTTTAGGGCTGTTTCTGAGGGCGATGGCTCCCTGCTCCCAGGAATGGGGGGGGCTCCTTCGCCTCTTCCCGGGCACGGCGTGTGGGGCTGGTCCCCCGTCCTTGAGTGGTGGGACCCCGAGTCTGGGATCTACCTCAGCGGCTGGTGGGTGGTTTGCTGGTGGAGTTGGGAGTGACATTTTCCTGCCTTGAATGCCTGAATCGAGATTTTTCTCCTCGAGCCGCAGGCTGGGTTGTGGGACCTGGATGGGTGGCGGCCTCCCCCCCATTTGTGTGTTTCTGTGGCTCATCCACCCCCGCCCCCTCCCCTGTCTGTGCTCACGGGGTCTGGGAGGGGTGGTGCATGTCTCCTTGGGAGAGAAGATCTTTCCGTGGGGATATTAGTCCCATCACATCCATAGTTACTTGTGGGTGGACTTTGTGTGTTTGTTTTTTTTTTAAACGAGTTACTTGTTTACATATTTTTTTTTATTAAGTGTTAAACCCCTCCTCCTTTGCTCCACCCCCATGACACACCTTGGAAACGCTTTGACTTCGTAAAACTTGATTCTCTTGAACTTTGGGAACCTTTTAAACAGGACGTGAGACATAGACCCTCTGTTCCTCGTGGTCCTCCTCCCTTTGTATCCAGGACTTTCTTCTAAATAGTTTTCATTGCTTTTGGTACGGCCATCAGCGCCCCCAGATGGGTTTACACGCGATTCATCAAGAGCTATGCCCTCTTGAGAGAAAAACTCAAGGTAGACATGTAGGTGTTATTGTTCATAATGCATACAAAGCTTTCCTCTACTTCTTCAGTTTTAAGGGATGTTGGTTAAAAACTTCCCCCCCCTCGCCCCCAAGGACTTTGCAGAGTTAAAGTGGCTTAATTTTTTTTTTTTTCTCCTGAGGGGGTTTCGTTTTTTAATTGGGCAGGCTCCTTTGTTGTTTCACGGTGACATCATTATCTAGTGTTATTCTTTTCTCATTCCTGAGTAAACCAGTGTCTCATGACAGCAGAAGAACCTGATCACACAAGCCGGTTTTCTGAATAAAACCCTCCAGGGGCTTTTCATAAATACCAGTCCAGTCCAGTCCAGTCCTGATTGTGGCATACAGAAGCCTCCGTGACTTCCCTCGCGTTCTGTATTCCAGGCTCTCTGAGCCTCTGCTCCAGTTGCTCCCTCTGCCCGGAGCCCTTCCCCCAAGGTCAGCCAGGTGAACATCTAATCCTCTTTGAGGACTCAGCTCTCCTGTCACCTCACATTCCCCTCTCTCCTGTCCCGAATCTATCACTCCCTTGTTTGTGTCCTCCTGAACCCTCTGCACTTCCTTAAACAGCACACAGAACGCTTACCTGAGTGTTCTTAACCTTGTTTAGTTAGATGTTATGTCTCATGCTTGAGGCATTTCCCTCTTTCCACTGTGTAAACTGCACGCTCATAGGGGCCATGTGTCTGTCTCCTAGTATTTGCTGTTTTGTCCCCAGCATCTGGTTCATAGTAGATACTCAGTAACTGGGACAAATGAAAACTATATATAAGACTTGAGAACAGCATACATGTGCCCATGCTTTGTGCAATTTTTTGGCACAGAAAAGCTCTTGTTGAAGGGATTAATGAGTTTGGATTCAATATTATGTTTTGTAAATTTACACACCCATTTCTTCCAAAAAATTGCCACAGGGAAAGTCTCTTTAAAAATAAAAAACTAAGGGGGAAAAGGGGACATATGTAATACTTCCAACAGTAAAGATTTAATTTAGAAAGACATAAGCTTAATCTGGCTGTCTTTCTGAATTTTTGAAACAAGTAAATTGTTTATATTTCACTTTCTGTTTACCTCAAAATACTGTAAGACTAGTATGTGCTTATTTCAGTTTCATGAGCAAATTTTTGTAGTGGGTATGGATTTTTATTTCAAAATCTTTCATATTTTCTAGCCCCTTTCCAGGCAAATTGAATATCTTTGACTTATTGCCCTTTTTATTATTTACGATAACATAGTGTTGAGAATTGTATTGGCTTTTTCCAGGAGGACTAGGTGATAATGAGAGGTTTGGAGGGGTTATTTTTTGATATCATGGAGGAAAATATTTTGAAACATGTTATTTGTGACAGTGGGAGTTTTTTGTGGTTGTCCTTTCCTGAAATAAATGACCCAGATGCTGATGTGGAAATTTGGTTGGTATCAATTGAAAGAAAAGAATTTCTTTTAAAAGTAGGAACATAAAAAGAGAAACTTGAGTAGAAAATATTTTGTTCCCCATGAAGGAAATAAGATTTTCAAGAATGATTTATTTAGATGACCTGAGAAACCCCATCCAAAGTAAATTATTTATATTTCCAGTGGACAGAAGTAACTCCTCTCACCTTAAATAGTATATAATTAGCGAGTTACAGGAATATTGGCTAATCATTTTTTTGACTAATTTCTTAAAAAGGTAGTCTCAGCTGCAACAGAATTAATTTTTTTTCATGATTATAAAGAAACACACTTGTATTTTTTCTGTAGTGAAGAAATGTTTGTGTTTGTGTTGCACAATGTATATCTATATGCCAAGAGCTCTAACTTCTGGTTATTTCTTATTAGCAGGATCTAACAGACTTTTTTTTTATTTTGCATAAAAGTAATCACTGTACCATTCTGTCAAAGTTTATAGGAAGTACATATTTCTTTCCTGGGTTGTTGTGTTTTCTGTTGTTGTTGTTTGTTTTTATAGCCTCCTCATTGGTCTCTCTTGCCTTCCCAATAAGTCTATTCCTTTTTAAAAAAATATTTTTTATTGTTTTTTAGAAAGTCAGGAAGGGAGAGAGAGAGAGAGAGAGAGACACACACACACACACACACACAGACATCCACATCAACATGGATTGCATCCTGTACGACCCCCCATCAGCCCAGGCACAGGCACATTCTCTGACCAGGGAATCAACCAGCACCAGCATGGTGTATGGGACAACACCCAACCAATTGAGCCACCCCAGCCAGTGCCTAATAAGTCTGTTCTTAATTCAGCAGCCAGCTGAGTGATTCTGATACAACAGATCATGACACCCTGCTTAGCCTTCTATGGATACCCATTTCATTCCATGTAAAAGCCAAATTCCTTACAGTGTCCCCTAATCTATACTAATAAAAGGGTAATATACTAATTAGACTGGGAGACCTTCCGGACAAAGCCATGGTGGCGGGGCCAAGGCAGAGGTGGTTAGGGGCAATCAGGCCAGGAGGGGAGGGCAGTTGGGGTGATCATGCCGGTGGGAGAGGCAGTTGGGGCAAGAAGGCCGTGGAGGGGGGGAGGGGGGCAGTTGGGACAAGCAGGCTGGCAGGCAGAGTGGTTAGGGGTGATCATGCAGGCAGGCAGGTGAGCAGTTAGGAGCCAACGGTCCCAGATTGGAGAGGGTGCAGGCCAGGCTGAGGGGGACCAGGCCAGGCTGCTGGCTTCTCTTTAGCCTTTCCGGCTTTCTTGTCCCAGGATACTCCAGGACCTTTGCCCTGGTTTCTGTGCCTGGAGTGCTCTTACCCCCGTATCACCATCACTGACTCCCTGGCCTTCTTCAGGTCTTTACTCAAATGACACTTTCTTAAACCCTTTCTGACCATCCTTTTTAAATTGCAGCTTGCCACAATATCTTGGAATTCCTCCTTACTCTTTTCTGTTTTCCCCCCATAGCATTTATCACTTTCTAACAGTATCTTTACTTATTATGTTTATTATCTTTCTTCTCCCACTAAGTGGTAAGCTTCCTGAGAAAAGGGGATTTTTAAAGAACAGCTTTACGAGTACCTAGAACTGTGCCTGGCACACATTAGGCACTCAATTATTGGTTGAATGAATGTATTTTTTAAAATCAATGTATTTATTTTGAGGCAAGTGCATTTGAATGTCTTATAAGAAGTATGTATATTCCTACTGCCTTTTCCCTTTATTATGGATCATTTTTAAGGTATCAATTCTAAAATTCAAATCTCATAATATTAAATGTAGGTATAAAATAATTATTGATAAAATAATTTAGGGTTTAGTTCACCCTGTATATATTCTATAACAGAACATTTATTTTATGAAAAAGTACTTGAATGCTTGTCCTTAGAGAAATAGGAGGAAAGAGGTTAGAGCTTTTCTTGAATTAGAGATAAAAACAAAGAAATTTGGCCGAAACCGGTTTGGCAGCGCCAGCAGGGGGCAGTTGGGGACTAGCAGACCAGTGGGGAGGGAAAGTGAGGGTGAGCAGGCCAGCATGGGGGGCAGTTGGGAGTGAGCAGGCTATCAGGGGAGGCAGTTAGGGGCAGGCTATCAGGGGAGGCAGTTAGGGGCAAGCACACTGGTACGGGGGGCAATTGGGGGTGATCAGCAGGATGGCACGGGGGGGGGGGGGGGGGCGGCGGCACATTTGGGGGTGAGCAGGTCAGCAGCAGGGAGCAGTTGGGGGCGAGCAAGCTGGCAGGCAGAGTGGTTAGGGGCAATCAGGCAGGCAGGTGAATGATTAGGAGTCAGCAATCCCAGATTGTGAGAGGGATGTCCGACTGCCGGTTTAGGCCTGATCCCTGTAAATCAGCAGTAGGACATCCTTTGAGGGGTCCCAGATTGGAGAGGGTGCAGGCCGGACTGAGTGACACCCTCCTCCTCCCCCCACCCCACTCTACCCCCCCTGCACGAATTTCGTGCACCAGGCCTCTAGTATATATAATGCTTATTTTTAAGTATACAGAGCTGTATTAATATATTCATATCTTGGTTTTTTTGGATACTTTTATGAAGTCAATTCAAGTAATTGAAGATCTTTTTATGTTTTATTTTTGTTTACCATTTTGGTGGAAATTATCTCAAAATGTAGTTCATATATCTTGGTCTTACTGAACAAATTAATTTTAAAAAAATGCCC